TACATTTAAAGTATACATTTTAAATATAGCATACATTTAAAAGTATAATAAAATATGGCATACATTTAAAGTATACATTTTTACCAATAAATATGGCATACATTTAAAGTATACATTTTTTAATAAATATAACATACATTTTTACCAATAAATATAGCATACATTTAAAGTATACATTTTTACCAATAAATATTACATTTAAATATACATTTTTAAATAAATATGGCATACATTTAAAGTATACATTTTTACCAATAAATATAACATACATTTAAAGTATACATTTTTACCAATAAAATATTTAAAGCATACATTTAAATAAATATACATTTTTTTACCAATAAATATGGCATACATTTAAAAGTATACATTTTTTACCAATAAAATAGCATACATTTAAAGTTTACATTTTTACCAATAAATATAGCATACATTTAAAGTATACATTTTACCAATAAATATGGCATACATTTAAAGTATACATTTTACCAATAAATATGGCATACATTTAAAGTATACATTTTACCAATAAAAAATATACATACATTTAAAGTATACATTTTTACCAATAAATATAGCATACATTTAAAGTATACATTTTACCAATAAATATGGCATACATTTAAAGTATACATTTTACCAATAAATATAACATACATTTAAAGTATACATTTTACCAATAAATATGGCATACATTTAAAAGTATACATTTTTACCAATAAATATAACATACATTTAAAGTATACATTTTTTACCAATAAATATAGCATACATTTACCAATAAAAGTTTACATTTTTTACCAATAAATATAACATACATTTAAAGTATACATTTTTACCAATAAATATGGCATACATTTAAAGTATACATTTTACCAATAAATATGGCATACATTTAAAGTATACATTTTTCAATAAATATAACATACATTTAAAAGTATACATTTTACCAATAAAAATATTTAAAGCATACATTGAAAATATATACATTTTTACCAATAAATATGGCATACATTTAAAGTATACATTTTACCAATAAATATATACATTTAAAAGTATACATTTTTACCAATAAATATGACATACATTTTATACACCAATAAATAAATATACATTTAAAGTATACATATTTTTACCAATAAATATAACATACATTTAAAGTATACATTTTACCAATAAATATAGCATACATTTAAAGTATACATTTTTACCAATAAATATAAAACATACATTTAAAGTATACATTTTACCAATAAATATGGCATACATTTAAAGTATACATTTTACCAATAAATACATACATTTAAAATTATAACATACATTTAAAGTATACATTTTTACCAATAAATATAGCATACATTTAAAGTATACATTTTTACCAATAAATATGGCATACATTTAAAGTATACATTTTTACCAATAAATATAACATACATTTAAAGTATACATTTTTACCAATAAATATAGCATACATTTAAAGTATACATTTTTACCAATAAATATAACATACATTTAAAGTATACATTTTTTTTACCAATAAATATTTTGGCATACATTTAAAGTATACATTTTACCAATAAATATACATTTAAATACATTTAAAAGTATACATTTTTACCAATAAATATTGCATACATTTAAAGTATACATTTTACCAATAAATATAAAGCATACATTTAAATTATACATTTTACCAATAAATATGGCATACATTTAAAGTATACATTTTACCAAATAAATACATTTTTAAAGTATACATTTTTACCAATAAATATAGCATACATTTAAAGTATACATTTTACATACATTTAAAGTATACAATAAATATAACATACATTTAAAGTATACATTTTTACCAATAAAATATGGCATACATTTAAAAGTATACATTTTTACCAATAAATATAGCATACATTTAAAGTATACATTTTTACCAATAAATATAGCATACATTTAAAGTATACATTTTACCAATAAATATGGCATACATTTAAAGTATACATTTTACCAATAAATATGGCATACATTTAAAGTATACATTTTTACCAATAAATATGGTACATACATTTAAAAGTATACATTTTTTACCAATAAATATAGCATACATTTAAAGTATACATTTTACCAATAAATATAGCATACATTTAAAGTACATACATGGCATACATTTTTTACCAATAAATATGGCATACATTTAAAATGGCATATACATTTTTACCAATAAATATGGCATACATTTAAAGTATACATTTTTACCAATAAATATGGCATACATTTAAAGTATACATTTTACCAATAAATATTACATTTAAATTATACATTTTTACCAATAAATATGGCATACATTTAAAGTATACATTTTACCAATTTTTTACCAATATAGCATACATTTACATTTTACCAATAAAAAGCATACATTTATACATTTTACCAATAAATATATATTTTTAAATATACATTTTACCAATAAAAAGCATACATTTTTACCAATAAATATGGCATACATTTAAAGTATACATTTTTACCAATAAATAAATACATTTAAATATACATTTTTTAAAATAACATACATTTAAAAGTATACATTTTTACCAATAAATATGGCATACATTTAAAGTATACATTTTTATAATAAATATAGCATACATTTAAAGTATACATTTTACCAATAAATATAGCATACATTTAAAGTATACATTTTTACCAATAATATGGCATACATTTTAAAGTATACATTTTATAATATGGCATACATTTAAAATACACATACATTTAAAGTATACATTTTACCAATAAATATAGCATACATTTAAAGTATACATTTTACCAATAAATATAGCATACATTTAAAGTATACATTTTTTACCAATAAATATAGCATACATTTAAAGTATACATTTTTTACCAATAAATATGGCATACATTTAAAGTATACATTTTTTTTACATTTTTCATATACATTTTAAATATAGCATACATTTAAAGTATACATTTTTTTATAAATATGGCATACTTATTTTTAAAAGTATACATTTTTACCAATAAATATAGCATACATTTAAAGTATACATTTTACCAATAAATATGGCATACATTTAAACTATACATTTTTACCAATAAATATGGCATACATTTAAAGTATACATTTTACCAATAAATATGGCATACATTTAAAGTATACATTTTTACCAATAAATATATACATTTAAAGTATACATTTTTAAATTATACATTTTTACCAATAAATATGGCATACATATAAAGTATACATTTTTACCAATAAATATAGCATACATTTAAAGTATACATTTTTACCAATAAATATGGCATACATATAAAGTATACATTTTACCAATAAATTTAGCATACATTTAAAGTATATACACACACACACAAATATATATAGAGAGAGTGAGTCTGCAGTACATAAAAATTCCTATAAAAAAACTACTACTAAGACATTACACTATATTATTGAACTATATACTTAGTTCATGACAAAAACTGAATACACTTGTAAAAATAGAATACGTGGATTTAACACATCACATGAAATATTTAAATAAAATTCTCACTTAAAATTTTGAAAAACTTAGCGTTGCGTCTTTGCATGTTCCGAGATCTTACACAACCGTCAATAATAGCAGATATTCAAAAAAAATCTTTCGGTCGACATACAAGTATATCGTCTCCAAGTTTTGATTTTATAAGGAAAAAACACATGCCTGATGATGAATAGAGGACTATTAGTAAGTAATAGCATTTTAACATCAAATAAACTGAAAACTACAGATATCAAGTTTATCGACGAGAATCAACTCGCACTATGGATTAACAGTATTTTAATGCTTATATTATGTTTCTAGCGATGGATGTCGCCAAAAATCGCATTAATACTTCTGATTGATTCTATGTGTGATTATTTCTTTGTATATATACATATATATATATATATATATATATATAGACTCCTTAAAAATCCATTCAGGTGAGAGTTTATTTCGTGAACTCAGACGTCCATTTCTGTAGACCAAATTTTCAAAACTAAATGTAGTTCAATTTGCTCAGATACAAGGATAAAAAAAGAAACAGTGGGAAAATAGAAAAAAGAAAAAGTTTTAGTATTAAAAGTTGACGTATTAGTCTACTAAATAAAGTATCAACTGGATGGATTTTTAAGGATTCTCTATTCATTATTATATTTGATCTGTTCTTAGATTTTTGCATTTATATACTCCTTGCAATTATCCCTATTAATTATCAAGTGATATTATATATATATATATATATATATATATATATATATATATACACACACACACATATATATATATATGTTTGTTTGTGTGTATATATATATATATATATATATACACACACACACACACACACACACACATATATATATATATATATATATATATATATATATATATATATATATATATATATATATATATATTTATACGGGTGAGTCAACAGGTCCGTTGACTGATAACGTCAGGTTAATTTTGGTTTAAAATTTTCAAACGATATCTGTATAATGTTCATTCTATGTAATAAATATTACACATTGAATTACATTCATTTACAAAGATGTAGATTATGGCGTTCTTATCATAAGTGTTTGTGTAAAATAACCGCGTTTTATTATTTAAAATAAACACTGAACTTACATATACTCATAGATGAATGTATTTATAATACATACATTGCATACATATATATATATATAGTATTAGTATTTGTATTTTTTTGTTAATATATATGCGCTCATGCGTGTGTGCGGCGAACTAAGCAATAACAGTGACTACTGGGAAAGAATATTTAAAAGTAAAAGTTTTCTTTAACATCAGCGCGTAAGAATTCTCTCGGGAAATCATAGTCGGCGCGTTACGAAGCTGTATTCTCGTCTTTTTCACATTGCGATAACAACCTCGAGACACGAAGTAAAAATGACATAGTTATTAGAGTTGGGCTTCAGCAGACAAGTGTCTTACTGTAGAGTGTTAGGACAGCAATGGCTGATAAATAGATAGGCGGGAGAAAGAAAGGATGGAAGCCCTGAATTGAAGTAAAGCGTCAGAGAACAAAAAAAAAATATCAACTGAAAATGAGACCGAGTTGCATAGAAAGGTTGAAAGAAGATGAATGAAAGAGTAACAGGTGTAAGATGGATAGGCGCTGATTGAAGAGAGATAAATGATGGAGAGAGATGAAGAGATAAAGAAATTTTATTACGAGATTAAATGGAAGGGAGAAATTAGAAAGAAAATATTAGCAATAGAGAATGAAATATACCAAACGCGTCAAAGCAGAAGAAAATAGTAAATAAATGTATTCTGAAATGAAGAAAAAATGTAATGAATTATAAAAGAGCGGAGAAAGAGAAAGGAAACCAGGAAGGCTTAGTATGAAGTGTCCAATAAAGGACGGTCAGCGTACTTAACGAAGAGAAACATAAGTTATAAGAAAATGGAAAATAATATGAAATTAAAAAAAAAAAACATACGAAAAAAAAGAAACACAGCGTTCAACCAACAGGGAATGAAAACAAAAACTAAAATAAAGAAAGGAAGATCTTTATATAACTACAGCATTAAAAAAAAAAAAGGAAAGGAAAAAAAAAAACAAAAACAAAAAACGTTCTTGAAGAAAAATGTAAGCAAACAAGTTTGAGAGAACGAACAAATTTAAATAAGTAAAGTACTATTTATCTCCAGACAGATAAAGACAGCTTCTGGCGTCAATTTTGAATTTCTTTTTGTTGAAGGAAAGTGACGTTTTTAAAAAATATATACTTTCCATCAATCATCGTCTGTATTCGTTAAATGTCGGTTGCCTTCGAGAAAACATGGCTGAGATGCTCAAACGTCACTAACCATTTCAACGGACAGGTGTTGCGACGGCGGGTGATGTTAGAATGTGAAATTTGAGGCAAACGTTAAAGGGTTTATAATTTGACCGAACGGCTGTAATTTCAAACAAAGATGTAAAATTTGTAGAATCTGTGCAATAGACAATAAGCAAATGCAAAGAGAGAAAGGCAGACATTCATATGGAATGTATTTCTCACCCCAGATCCTATCAGAATAGACTTTGTAATCTAATTCAAAACAGACCATCGAAATGTAAATTTGACCTAAAATGACCTCCTAGCAGTTGAGTGCATATTCACGTGACTGAATCAGCTACAATTGGGTTGCAAGCTTATGGAAGAGCAGCATAACAGAGATAGATATGTAAACATCTACCACAATCTCTCATATATTTGCAGACGAATATATGAAGGCAACGTTTCATACGGGATTCCCAGGGCTGCATGCACACATTGCCCGTGAGTAATTGACTAAGTACAAGATAATGTATAATGACAAAAGTACGCAGATGTAGGCTTTAAGAAAGTTTTATTTAACTGAGAATACAAAGGTCATGTTTAGTGTCCTTCTATAATCCCAGCAAGCAGAAATAGCTCTCTCAAAGAGTAGAGTATCGAAACAAGGGGAGACAACTCTTGATTATTCATAACATAATGTTCCACCATATATGAGAAATCAAGTCTTTTGTTTTCATTAGACTGAAGATACAACTTCATTACTTATATTTAAAGATAAATAGTAATGACTAACGCACATTCAGGGAGATTGTAGTTTTGTGTTAACTCTTTGTACTATGAGTTATTCATAACAATATCTTCATTTTTTTATTTCAATTTCACTACATTCATATTTCGACCGACCTATGGACATTTGTTGCTATATTTACATTTAAAATAGGCTATTTTATTGGGTTTTTTTTTTTTTACTTCATTTACTATGCGACTGGACTAATTTGTATTGCTTTTGTTACGATATTGACATTTCGAACGGTGAATTTTTATTGCTATTTTCACTATATTCACAGTTCAACGGACGATCTGTTTCGGACATTGCATTTACGTTTCGACTTTGTTATTTTCATTGCTTGTGTTAGTACTTTCAAATTGTAACCGAGATGTATTTATTGCTTTTAGTTATCCATTCGTATTTTGACCAGCGGTATGCTTTCCATCTCGCTACTTTTTTTTTTTTTTTGCTTTTGCCACTAAATGTATAATCCGACCGGGATATTTTTACTGTTATTGTCACAACATTCATATTTCAACCGTCGATTTGCATTTGCCACTGGTTTTTCATGTCTTTGTTAATTTCGTTGTTGTTACTACATTCATATTACGACCGTTCTAATTCATTGCTCTAGTCTATACCTTCACATTTCCACCTGGTTATATTTATTGCTTTTGACTCTATATTCACATTTGGTTCGGTCGATTTTTATTACTTTTCTTACGACATTCGCACTACATTTTGGCTTTACATTCATATTTTGTCTGGCGTATATTTATTGTTTTGTCACTACATTTATAACTAAACAGAACTATTTGCTTTTATCACTATATTTACTGTTAGACAGAGTTTTTTGCAGCATATTTTAACTATATTTATATTTCAATCAAATATTTTTCTTGCTTTTCGTAATACATTAATATTGCTCTACGGGTTGTTTTTGAAGTACGAAGCATCATATACTCTGGCGTCTAAAGGTGTTGAGCAAACTAAATATAATGATTATATAGCTTTATTTTATTAAGACGTTAAGGTTGCTTTCCAGTATTCTTTTATCAATAGTCTTCTGTCCTTAATGATGGGAAAATGTTGCGTTTTCGTAGATGCCGCGCAACAGAAAATGCACTCCTTTAAGCAGCTGGAACCTGAAAAAAGGCCATGCAATCATATTTGACCAATGAAAGTTCTTAGGTGATAATGACAAATGCAAATTTCTAAGTAGGAATCATTTTATCTTTTTAACATGAGTGTAAAATGCCATTGTAGCTGATTATTTACTTGCTTTTTTACATAACTAAAATTTCTGCTGAAACAAAAATGAAGGTCGTGACTTGAAGTGAAAGACACCAAAACGAAAAACAGTCAGGTGGCTGAGAATTTCTAGAAAGGTGTCCAGACTATTCAAAAGACGTTTGCTACTACTGGAAGTATTTTCAGCGTAAAGAAACTTGGAAGACCACAAAAGTTGGTCAAAAGAAATGATGGAAAGATTGTGGGAGTCTCGCTAGGTAATTGAAAATTAACAGCTAACCAAGTTAAAAGTGAATGAAGCCTTAACAATGAGGTTTTAATTGATGGACTACGAAGAGCATTACAAAAAGAAATTGTGACGACGGGCGTAGAGCAGCAAACAAATAATTAACCAAAAAAAAAAGGCAGAACAGAAGGTAGAAGTGGCGAAAAGAACATCTAATATAGAATATTAGAAAGTGTCCAAAAGTAGATTTAGGCGATCAAGGCAAAATAGAGTTACGTCCTTATAGAAAACAATACGTATAACCACTGAGAGAAAGAAAAATTGCAAGACACCACAGTGAGAGAAAGAAACATTGCAAGACACAACAATGAGAGAAAGAAACAATGCAGAAAACACCACTGAGAGAAAGAAACATTGCAAGAGACAACAATGAGAGAAAGAAACATTGCAAGACACAACAATGAGAGAAAGAAACATTGCAAGACACAACAATGAGAGAAAGAAACATTGCAAGACACAACAATAAGAGAAATAAACAATGCAAGACACACCACTGAGATAAAGAAACAATGCAAGACACACCACTGAGAGAAAGAAACAATGCAAGACACACCACTGAGAGAAAGAAACAATGCAAGACACACCACTGAGAGAAAGAAACGATGCAAGACACACCACTGAGAGAAAGAAACAATGCAAGACACACCACTGAGAGAAAGAAACAATGCAAGACACACCACTGAGAGAAAGAAACGATGCAAGACACACCACTGAGAGAAAGAAACAATGCAAGACACACCACTGAGAGAAAGAAACGATGCAAGACACACCACTGAGAGAAAGAAACAATGCAAGACACACCACTGAGAGAAAGAAACAATGCAAGACACACCACTGAGAGAAAGAAACGATGCAAGACACACCACTGAGAGAAAGAAACAATGCAAGACACACCTCTGAGAGAAAGAAACAATGCAAGACACACCACTGAGAGAAAGAAACAATGCAAGACACACCACTGAGAGAAAGAAACAATGCAAGACACACCACTGAGAGAAAGAAACGATGCAAGACACACCACTGAGAGAAAGAAACAATGCAAGACACACCACTGAGAGAAAGAAACGATGCAAGACACACCACTGAGAGAAAGAAACAATGCAAGACACACCACTGAGAGAAAGAAACAATGCAAGACACACCACTGTGAGAAAGAAACAATGCAAGACACACCACTGAGAAAAAGAAACGATGCAAGACACACCACTGAGAGAAAGAAACGATGCAAGACACACCACTGAGAGAAAGAAACAATGCAAGACACACCACTGAGAGAAAGAAACGATGCAAGACACACCACTGAGAGAAAGAAACAATGCAAGACACACCACTGAGAGAAAGAAACAATGCAAGACACACCACTGAGAGAAAGAAACAATGCAAGACACACCACTGAGAGAAAGAAACAATGCAAGACACACCACTGAGAGAAAGAAACAATGCAAGACACACCACTGAGAGAAAGAAACAATGCAAGACACACCACTGAGAGAAAGAAACAATGCAAGACACACCACTGAGAGAAAGAAACAATGCAAGACACACCACTGAGAGAAAGAAACAATGTAAAAATTTCTTCCCATTCTTTTCCTTTTATTTTTTCCCGTTTTTCTTTTCTTTTTTGCCTTTCCCTTTCTGTTTTGACTCCACCCTCTCTTTTTCTTACTTTTTCCCCTTTTTCTTTTTTCCTTTTTCTTTTTTCTCTTTTTCCCTTTCTTTTTTCCCTTTCTTTTTATTCTCTTTCTTCTTTCCCTGGCTCTTTTTATTTACTGTTATCTACTAAAGAAGAATCTTATTTATTTTTAAAATCTTGTGTAATTTTTTCTTGTCATTTAAATATGTTTTTGTTATGTATTCAGTCTTTCTTCTTATTTTTTTTTTTAAATATCTACAGATACCTTCAGCTTGATTCATTTAGTTCGGTTGAAATGTTCGATACAATAATGTTCACCCTACACAAGGCACAAGAATCACTCCAGGTAGATGGTTACGGTGTAAAAATCACCACCGCAAACAAGTTGATAATGCCACCAAAACGCAAGGATAAACCGGAAGTGGAAGAGAAGGGAAGAAATCTTTAGAACGAACCGAAAAACCAATCCTAAACAGAAAACAAGGGATAAACCTCTAGTCATGTTCGAAAGATCGAGGAGCCGTGTGAACTGGATGATAGGCAAACCTATCTACTCCCCACGTGTAAATAAATGTGTAGATCATAGTTTTGCTATTGTATATTATAAGCTGTAAGTACAAATGATATATTCAATATCACATACGCATTTCCAAAGACTTTCTTCTAACGCAAGATTTTTTAGAAAAATGAAAATCTCTCTTAAAATGCAGAAAATAATCCGATTTCTACGAAGTTTTCAGAACTCATTCATTTCTATAAGACTTTTATCTTGAAATTACTATTTATGAAAAATATTGTTTTAAAATTCCAGTTACCCCATTCACTTAAATCTACGCAAGCTTTTAAAACAGAACCGTGGATTTAACCCTTTGAACCATGCGTTTCTCCACCTTTCTTCCTGAACTCCTGAGTCAAAATTCGCAAATAATCGGTATGTAATGTTTCATGGTACATATAAAAATATTTACAAGTGTTTACCCACTGTTCAATCCGTGGCTGAGCATTACGTCATTTTTCTCTACCACTGATAAAACGAAGGTCAAGGCTCAAAGAGCTAATAAATATTCAGATTGCTTCAATTCCTGAATAAATCCTCAAAGATCTAATATTGAATAGGATATCAATTGATTTGATAAGTTCTTGTGTAAAAATATGCCCCGGATTGAACTTACCATTTATTTGTACAAGATGTTGTCAATATCTGTTTATATCTCTGAGATGAGGTATTACGATTACTTACATTATTTACTGTTATTCTCATTGTTTCGTTTCGGTCGTTGTATGCTCCTGCCTTCTTCAGGTGATTACATTTTCTGAATTTGAGTTAAAGGAAAATAACTGAGACATGCGGAAGAGGCATGGCACGTGTAAGTAGAACAATCTACCCCGGCGGACGAAATAAAGGGATCGGTTCGAAATTCCAATCACCTAGATAAGGCTGAAGCGTGCAACATTGTGAATATGGCAATGAAAATTAGTATAACAGTCCGAATAATGTAAATAATGTAAGATGTCGTCAGTCGTTTTAAAAATACATTGTCGTCCATTATAATAGGTGTGGCTGGAGAAGAATAAAGCGTTTGTCAGTGACTGGATGGCTCGCCTATTTGCTCCAGAGAGTGTAATGAATATAGTGTTAAAGCGGATCGGGTTGAGGAATCGGAGAGCAGAGTTCGAATTTCAGTCAAATCCTTTACATTCACTTACGTGCTAATACCCTTGTGAAAGATATGAACCCTCTTCTCCATCCAGCCATGGGTAAATAGCAGAACAGACCGGGTCCTATAACCTTGGATGGCAACTGGTCTATTACAGAAAGAAATGGCAACCTACTGAAGGAAAAATCTGTCGCGTCAGTCATGTATCGAAAGATACATGATCGCCTAAGCGTGTATCAAGCATTGCACATAACTAACTGACTGTTGCAAGTGAGGTGGATGCATTGACGCCAGTATATGTAATTGTACCCATGGTCAGGATTATATATAGTAGGATAGACTGCTGTACTATCTTTCCAATGAGTCATGCCATTTTACAGATAATGAAGAAAGAAGAAAAAGCCATAATTGCCTACGCACTGAAAGATCGTAGAATTTATTAAAAAATAAAGATTCAAGTTAGGATCTATCCAAAAGATTACTTTTGATTGGTGATATTAATTAATAAACATAAAATAGGGGTAAATCCTTATTATTATTCTATGTACTGTTTTCCGTCAGTATGTGGGCAATCATGGTTCTCCACAACTTCCTATTCTTTACAAAGCGTGTCTTTTCCCCATCACTGACATAGATTTACACAAGCTCATTAGATAGGTTACCAGTTGCTTTCCTCTGTCTCACTTGCCTTTACTATGTCCTGTGAATACTAAATTCTCCAAGACACCCTTCCTGATTATATTAGAAATTGCAGCTGTCTCTCCGCGTCTTTTTGCATTCATTATCCTTAAAACTTCCTCTTTTACGTATATATGATATTCCCAGCATTCTTATGTAGACTTCTCGCCTCAAGTCTCCTCTTCATCTGTGAGGAGATTGTCCAGTATTTACTGCTATATAAGAGGACTGACAGCACATAACTGTTCAGCGTTCCTTTCATTGTTTCTAACGAGACTCTCTGGTTTCTTATTTGGTTTGGTTTGCTTTGTTTTATGGCATATCTATCTTAAAGTGTTATTTAATGCCACCAAGACTTTTTTCTGGTTATATTTTTTCCATAAATATATTTATGGTAATTCTTTTTCAAAAATGAATTGCAAGTAATATTTTGTTTGTAATAATTTTTCCTTCAAAAAAAGTATTGCTGGTAATAATTTTTCCACCACAAATGTATTGCTGGCAATACTTTTCCTTAAAAATGTATTGCTGGTAAAAATGTTCTTTTCAGCAAAGTATTGCTGGCAATTTTTTTTCAGAAATGTATTTCTGATAATAAGTTTTCTCTCAAAAATGTATTATTGGTAATAAAATGTATTGTTGGTAATGAAATGTATTTTTTACGCCTTCACGGCGTTCTGACCCCAGTTTGTGCGTCAACTATTTGCCCATAGCTGGGATCCTAACAGTTGCTTCCACACAGGGTTAGGGTCGACCTCGGAACGCCAGCAATTAAGAAGTGTTTCCGTGCTCCTCAACCGTCCTGATCAGTGGCTTTGCTGTCAGATGTTGTTTATCGACTTACCCAGAATTCGGATGCAGTTTATCGTCTTACCCAAGACGAGGTTTCTTGTTATTTTGCTGAGTTTTAGGAGGGAATCCTTTCCTATGCCAACAGGTCTTCGTATTTTGGTGTCACATTTTCCGTCCTCTTTTAAAACACTTAATAATATTTCCGTTAAGAAACAGCAGAATAATAATAGTGAGTAAACTTAAGGAACTTATTATTTTGAAAAATTATTTTAAAAGACAAATTTTATGAATTTCAACCGACGGTTGCACTGGCTGCTAAGTCAATCAGCGGCGAATGTCTTTTTGTAAAGAAACGGTTAATATTCAGTCTGTTACGTGCCATGCGTGAAATATGCTTAAGCGATCATCTATCTTTCGATACATGACTGATGTGGCAGATTTTTTTCCCGCAGTAGGTTGCCATTCTTTCTGCAGGAGACTCGTTGTCAGCCAAGGCTATAGAAACCGACCTGTCCTGCTATTTTCCCATAAAAGAAGAGGATTCATACCTTTTCCAAGGGTATTAGCACGTAAGTGAATGTAATGGATTCGACTGGAATTCGAACTCGGCTCCTCAGCTAGAACCGCTATCCATTACTCCACCGTGCCTCCTTACTATTACTATTAATTCGGTATTTACTTTTACCTCAGAATGCTCCTGATACCCCACTAATCATATTTCATCATTCTTTTTAGATATACGTCGTCACATGCAACGTTACCCTTCTTAAAACTGATCATCACACATGATTAAATCTCTCATACGTAAAAATATTGTTTATTTAACTTCGAATTCTATTAATTAATATCGGAGTGTGGGTGTGTGGCTTGAGAGATTTCTATCAACGTAGATACTTCTCGTGGGGATATCAGTCTTTCTTCCTCCTTCCTCTCGGTTGTAGTGCTTATTTATCTTTCTGTCACCGAGGCTGCTCATACTAAGCGCAGCTGGATCACCAAGTGGTTTATAAGTCGGTGTCAACCTCTGACATACACTGATGAATTGAATTTTCACCTGGTGGCTGAGATGAACCTGCTGATTCAACTAGATTCCCCGAAGTTCTGGAAATATAATTTTGGCATAATGTTGGGTGAACCCATTTCCCTGAGAACAATGGTTCCTTATTCACATTAAATTCGATTTAGACAATTTGGGATTACTTGGAGTGATTCCCATACTACATGTGTCTTTCCAAACTCAGATAGACCTTGTAATTTCTCTGGTGTGAAAATAAGTTAGAAGCTAATAGCATTTTAATTTAACATATCTTCGAAAAGCCAAAACTTGCTGAACTTTTATTTTTTTATATGATGCCAATTTTGCACGCTATAAACATCTTTTTTTCGGTCTAAGGTCCTTTCAAGCAAAGTATGTTACGATATATGTATAGGTTTTCGGCGTCAGAGAGACTTTTGATATAAAAGAAACAAATCTGATTTTTTTTTTCTTAAAATTAGAACGGATTTTTCGTATATATTTTCTTTTAGAGTGTATATCACCTGTTGTCAATTTTCTTGAGAAAAACACCATGAAGTCAAAAAAAATTAACTAAAAACCCTAGATTTCATATCTGAAATAAAAAATATAAAATGTTAAATGAAAAAGAAATTTATGTTTTTTTTTTTCAGAATGTTAACATCTTATATTCAAAACTCGATATTTTCCAGCGAGAATCGAGGAAAGAGAAATGTTTTAGCAAACGTATAAAAAATTCT